GTGTGGGTGGGTGGCTCGCGCTGCTGTGGTTCGGAGGGGGAGGGGTGTCCTGCATGATTCTATGTGTGCCTGTCGGAATGCAATGCTTCAATCTTTTATATTTTTTATGATTTGCGTGGGGTACGGTAGCATTAACTGCGTGCATCGGGTATGATGGAACAAAGAAGATGGGTTTAGTTCAGTAAACGTGGACGGACGGACTGTCGGAATTAAGTCTCAACTGCTTTCACTGGTCTTGCGATGTGTGGATCCATCGATACTTAGTTGCGTTAACGCTGCTGTAATCGAGTTCGGCTGACGTCATTGTTGCATCGCGTCTGGCTATCCGTCTGCAGCTATGTTTTCGTTCTACGACTCTCACTCTCAGTTGCCTCTCGATTCGGTGCATGTATCTTTTTACACGCATGCGGCGGCTCTGAGGGCCTCGGCTGTGAGCGAAGTTGTCTTTTACTGCATGTCTTTTACTGCTGTGACTGTGTGTGAATCTGCGTAAAACCACGTTGTCGTTAGCAATAGTGGTAACTGTAGTGGCATTGCAGGGGCATCTAAGTGTGTGCTTTGTGTGTAGGCAATTACAATGAAAATGACTTTTTGCCATGTGTACGTATCGTGTCAGCTTACGTCGTAGTCTTAGAGAACGTTTCTAGATTATTGAATGGTCTTAGTATTATTAGCATGCTTTGCGTGTGGGCAGTTATGCAGAAAAAAACTTTTAGGTGCATGTGTACGTATTGTGTCAGCTTACGATGTAGTCTTACGATGCAGTCTTACGATGCAGCTTATATTGCATCTTAGATAACGTTTCTAGATTATTACCTGCCATTCTTAATGTTATTTATTCCACCAAAGCAGAACATTAACGTTACAGTCACGTTCCCTGTTATAAGAGACACTATATATGAAGTAACATATTATATTGCTTGCGATGCCTGTAATTTATAGCTAGTGTCACTTCATGCTTCATAAGTCATACTACTATATATACATGTATTATGACTGTCGCGAGTTTGACTACGAATGCAGCCGTGTCCGCCATATTGAAACCCGTTATTTCTGTTTCCGTGGCAACAGACGCTGATGAGCGAGCTGGAGGCGAGGGAAGCTCACTTCAACTCGGTGCAGGATGCCGGGGAGGAGCTGGTGATGCGCGGCCACCCGGCGTCCAAGGCCATAGAGGTATGCGTCCCCCGCTGCTATTATGTACTGTTGCTATATATGTATATGCACGACGCTTCACGTTGCTCGATTAAAAGTTGTTGGACAATTCAGCGATAAATGACGATGGCAGTGCCTGAACGCGTTACGCAGATTTACTGTTAGCGCCCTCTAGTGCTCATACCGAATGTATCGATGCTAACCAATGTTAAAAATGTTTTATCCTATTGCATGTCAATTGTACGTCGTCTTTGTTTAACTTCACGTCGGCGTTCTCTTGTTTTGCTGTGATGCGCACCAACAATTTACAAACCACACGCCCTAAAAAGCCGTGTCTACATTTTCTTGTTTTGATCTTAATTTCCCTCGACTTTTAGCCCATTTTCTTGTTTCTTCCTCACCGTCTCATCGCTACTCTCTCTCTCTCCTTCGCAGGCGTACATGGCTACGATGCAGACCCAGTGGTCATGGCTACTGCAGCTGACCGCCTGCCTCGAGACACACCTCCGCCACGCCTCCACCCGGCAGCGCTTCTTCGCCGAGGCGACCGAGTGCGAGACGTGGATGGCGGGCGGCGCGGCGCGTCTCCGGGACGAGTACGCCAAACGCGACCGCGTCACGCTCGACGAGGGAGAGCGGTACTTGCGCGAGATGCACGAGATGCGAGCGGGCATGGCGCGGCACGAGGACGCGATACGCTCGCTGCAGGCCCGCGCGCGCGACATCGTGCCGCTGCCTCTGCGCCGGCGCCCCCTCGACACACCGCTGCAGGTCCACGCGATCTGCGCCTACAAACAAGTGCACGTGAGTGTTTTGCGTCGGGGTGGGATGGAGAGTGGGTTGCCTTGCATCAGGGATCGTCAAAGACGTTTGACGCTGGGGTCGCGCTTGCCTCTTGCTGACGAGAGAGGTGGGGGCGAGTGTAGCACAAAAAGTAAAGTGGGTTTTGCATCTTTTCATTCAGTGTTCGTCCAATTTTCACCAATTTTGTCACAGATTTTTTTTGTCGCTGGTCTTTTTGCCGATTTTATCACCGATTTTTTTGTCACCGGTCTGTCCCCGATTTCGTCACCGATATTTGTCGATTTCTCATTGTCACAGATGAACGTCACCAAGGACGAGACGTGTACGTTGCGTGACAACTCGCAGACGACCAAGTGGCGTGTGAGCAACTCCGCGAAGCAGGAGGGCATGGTGCCGGCTGTCTGCTTCCTCATCCCACCGCCGGACGAAGAAGCCATACAGAAGGCCAACAGGTAACGATCGAAGCTGCCTCACGCACGAGCTCATTAAGATGATCATCTCTAGAATAAATAAAAAGATCAAAATAAAAAAAATAAAAAAATAATAAAAATTATTTGGCATACATGTGTTCTTAAAATTACTGTTTCGCGAATAAATAAAAAATAATAAAATTTTAAAAATAATAGAAGTAATAAAATGATTTGTCATACATGTATGATTAAACCGCCAGTTCTACACGCGCACTCTTGTTAAAATGATCGTCTCTCAAATGTTCATACATGTTGGTAGACAAGTTAGTCTTTAACAAGAATGATACTGATTTGCTCGAGCATAAAAAATTATTATGTTATATTACTATGAGTTTGTGCTTTATGGGTTAAACAGTGAATGAACAGCAAAACTTGCGCTTGCATTCTTGAGATTCGCAAAAATGAAAGCAGAAGGAAAGTTCGCTAGCAAAACAAGTGCAACTGTTTGCGTGACGTACATGCTTATAGACTGGTACCCTATCTCGACACGTACACAAAGAACACATAGTGTAGAGACAGGGTATCAGTCGATGGTAATAATAATAGTGCAAGCTGTAGTTAGACACGCGTATGCGTCATCGAATGTAGTCAATGTACATTAAGAGATAGCGTATTGCTGATGTGTCGACGACCATGTTTTTTCCAGTTTGAACAAGCAATTTGCGCAGCTACACACGCTCTGGAGAGAGCAGCAGAGGAAGATGAAGCTGCAGATGATCTGCAACCATCAAGGTTGTGAAAATCCTGGGACCCTGAAACAGGTATGCCAACGATTAGGCCAAAACAAAATATAGGTGTGGTTACCGTTTCATGCCGAAAAAAAATAGGGTAGGTAGGTAGGTGAAAACATTTATTTTATTGAAACATTTTATTTACGAACCATGTTCGACAGGATGTGCGTTGTGCCTTTTGAAGCAGGAACTGTCCAATTCATTTATTTTTTTTTTTTTTTTGTTGCGGATAATAGGCGTCGGTCGGAAACGGTAACCACACCTATATTTTGTTTTGGCCTTAGTGAGATTCTGAGACAAATAGTGTTATGTTGACATCCACCGCTATGTGATCGTTATCACAAAGTAGTGGAGCCGCACTGTAATAGTGGTTAGGAGATAATTCATATTAAACTTGGAGATCACTCCACGCTGTGTTCTCTGTTCTCTCTCTCTTCGCTGTGTTCTCTGTTCTCTCTCTCTCTTCGCTGAGTCTCTCTTTCTCTCTTCGCTGTGTTTCTCCCTCTCTCTTCGCTGAGCGTCTCTCTTTCTCCCCCTCGCCTCTCTCCTCTCTCTATCTCTTCTCTCTTACTAAGCCTCTCCCCCTCTCTCTCTCTCTCTCTCTCTCTCTCTCTTTCTCTCTCTCTCTTCACTAACTGAGCATCTCTCTCCCTCTCTGCTTGTAGTTTATGAGCATGGAGGCATCTCAGCATGAGGTGATCCTCCCCCTCCTCCTCTCCTCCGCTTTCTCTCTCTCTCTCTCTAACTAAGTGTCTCTCTCTCCCTCTCTGCTTGTAGTTTATGAGCATGGAGGCGTCTCAGCGTGAGGTGATCCTCCCCCTCCCCCTCTCCTCTCTCCCTCTCTATCTCCTCTCTCCCTCTCTATATCTCTGGTCTCTCTGCTAACTAAGTGTCTCGCTCTCCTCTCTGCTGTAGTTATAGCATCGAGCATCCAGCGCGAGGGTTTGATCATCCCCCTTCCCCGCCCTCTCCCTCTTCCCTCTCCTCTCCTAACTAAGTGTGCTCTCTGTTCCCTGCTCTGCTTGTAGTTTATGAGCATGGAGGCGTCTCAGCGTGAGGTGATCCTAGCCGCACTACAGGAAGACGCCGACAAGCTGGTTGCCGAGAACCATGGAGTCATCGACGACGACATGCGGCGGCTGCAGGAGGAGATGCTGTACTGTAGGGAGCTGTTCCACACACTGAGCACGCGCGGTGAGCCTGGGGAGGGTGGAGGGGACGGGGGAGTTTGAGATCGCAGGGGAAGGGTGGGGGTCGCTGGGAGAGGGTTTAGGTTTACATGGGGCAGAGGGAGGAGGGATGTTCTTTTGCCGGATCAGGAAAAGAAGAGCCAATCTATGTTACCAATAATAGAGGGCAGAAAGCAACGGCTGCATAAGCCATATCATTAACCACTGACAACAGAATC